CGTCGGGTCCTCTCGCGGCGGAGTCCTCGAAGCCGAACAAGTCGCTCCCGTGCAGCTTCAGCATGAAGCTGAAGGCGGAGGGAAGGACCTTCTCGGCGCGGTCCAGCCTCTGCAGCTCCTCCTCGGACACGCTCCGCCCCTCGGCCTCCGCCACGGCGAACAGGATCCTGCGGGTCACGGGCATGAACGCCATCAGGATCTCGAACATGTTCTGCGAGTCGAAGGGGTCGGCCTGAGAGCGAGCCATCCTGCTGGCCAGCTCCTTCAGGGTCTTGGCAACCTCGGGCAGGATGTCGATGGTCGCCGCCACCACGCCCTCGTATTTCCCCAAGTCCCTCGGCTTCTCCGGCTGAAGCACGCCCAGGGCCTCGTACGTCTGGGCGGACGCGGCGCAGGCGCACGTCGCACAGGCCAGGAGGATCTGTGGGAGGCGGGATTCCTCAGAGGATACGTCTCGGAAAATTCAAAGGGAAAAAGCAATAAGGTAGAGGATGCGAGAAGCAAGAAGTAGGACAAGGTCAACCGCGGGGATCTGTCATCATCCCGATGGTTGCCGAGTCGAGTGTATAACAAACTGCATATTGAGGGCGGTGTAGAAGTAAGCTTGAAAATCATAATGGTAACGATGAGATTGACATCAGAAAATGATGACAAAGCAAGCTTCTGGTTCACTAAGGATGTCAACAGCACAGCGACTACGGCAAAGACACCGAGATAAATTATAATAATAATGGTAAACGTAATGCTGTTAATAACGATAATAACAACAAATTAAAGGTAACACAGGCTTAATTGCAACCACCACAGTTATAATAAACAGAAATCAAAAAGTCCTTTCTGCCATATCGCCGACCAGTAACAAATGCAACACTTCGAAGTCCCTACTGATCTATACTGAAAGGTCCTTTAACTAATAACAGATATTAAGAATAATAATAATAAAATAAAAACATTTGTAACCATAACATTCGATTCCCTAAAAAAATGACAACGATATCTCTTCCCCCCATAGAAAAATTCACTTACTTGAATGTTCATCTTGACTAGAGAAATGAAAGATTGGAATGAAAGGCAATGAGAGCAATGCGTGGCTTTTATAACGTTCGTCTTGCCCTGCCAGTTGCCAGAAGGTCCCACGGCACTTTCTGTTGCGAAAATTATCTTTTCTGTCTGTTTCTCAATTTCTCTCTCTCTCTCTCTCTCTCTCTCTCTCTCTCTCTCTCTCTCTCTCTCTCTCTCTCTCTCTCTCTCTCTCTCTCTCTCTCTCTCTGCCAATCTCTCTCTGTCTCTCTGTCTGTCTCTCTCTCTCTCTCTCTCCTCTCTCTCTCTCTCTCTCTCTGCCAATCTCTCTCTCTCACGCCTCTCTTCTCTCCTTCTCTCTCTCTCTCTCTAGTTCTCCGTTTCTGCCGTGAGTCACAGAAAGGTGATTGGCTTGGACAATAAGAAATATCCAACCTACCATGAATACTTCTAAATCACAGAGAAAAAAAGTGGGGTGACAAGACGGAATTGGAAAAATAGAAAAGTCTAGTGTTTAATGAACTGTAATTTCTTCCATGTGTAGAAGTAGCCTCCCCCCCCCCACCCCCCGCCGTAGCCCCACCCCCAGCTGCGCACGAGACGACTGAGTATATAAAGGAAGGTCTCGCTCGCCAGGTAGACACTCGACCCTCTCTCGTTCAACGACGTCGCTCGGCTATACCCTGCAGCATGGCGTTTAAGGTTGGATCTAGAAGGATTACTGGCTTACATTTACTCGTACACACACCAACATGCATGTGTGTAGATTTATGTAAACGTTTGCCTTGAAATAGATACGCATAATTAACGAATGGCAGGTAGAGACAATGGATGTGTAGCATTGCATGTGACTGTGTCTGTGCGTATTATCGTAGTGGCTGTGGAAGTGAGCATGATGAGTATATTGCGTGATGTAACCCGAACTGAGTAAGTGAAATTGTGTGGAGTGAATTTGAGTAAGTGAATTTGTGCTGAGTGAATTTATATAGTTATCTGATTTAGATATATAGATGATTCCATAGACAGGCAATGTGCACCGGTAACTATGAATACATGTATAAATCCGTGTGAACGAGTGTATGGTTGAATAGTGAAAATTAGTATGATGAACATGTGACCGACGATGTGACCGTTCCGCCATACCATGACCTCCCTTCGTGTCTCCCACAGGTTCTTTTGGTGGCAGCCGCCGTGCTCTGCCTTTCAAGGGCGGCCCCGCAAGGATACGAAAGCTGGGCGTCCTGCGCCTGAGAGCCTCGTGACCTGGGTGCCTACGAGAACATCGTCGGCGCCACCATCGACGTGCTGCCGGAAATCGTCGAGGTCTTCCGCAAGGTCTCCCAGAACCGCGACAGTGCCAACGACCCCGAGAGCGTCCAGCAGATCATGCTGGACTTCATGCCCATCACCAGGAAGGTCATGGAGGCCACGGAGAAGGCGGAGGGCAACAAGTTCTCGCAGGACACGTACCAGCGCTTCAACGCCGCCGAGAAGGTCATGCCTCACGTGGTCACCTTCATGAACCAGCTGCGGGAGATGGACTTCTTCGGAGTGTCCACGACCCCGACTTCGCCTGATTATGGGTATGTCCTTCATTGAGGTCTCCCGCTTCCCCCCGAACGAGCTCTTTAGCAATTCTTCTGTTCACTCTCCTTTTTCCAGTAATGCCATTTTTCCCATGTGTAATTTAATATCAGTCATACTTATCTATTCTTCACCTCAAGGCTATCAATTTTGAATATCTTTTTGTAACTGTGAAAAAAAATATATATATATAAATACACTCCCTTAAGTTCTTTTTGTCCACAATTTTATGTCTGATCATCAGACCAAATGGTGAAGACACTACAGATCAGCAAACGAAATTCTGAATCCTTAAAAGGAGGGGAAAAGAGGAGAGAGAGAAGGAGGAGGAGGGAGAATGGGGAGGGGAAAAGAAGATGATTAATACTGAATCTTCCCGGATGGACAATGGAATTTCTTAAACTCGTATATTGTTAAGTTATACTTTCCTAGGATCAGGTTTAAGAAAAAAAAATGTTTTACACTTGAACGATAAAAGTTTAAAAGTTCGAATAAACAGTGACATTCGTGCTGTAAATCAACCTTACAGCCTGGAGATAATGCCTCCTTTTGTTCCTGGGATAGAAGGAAAACATTCTTTATTTTTTAACGTTATTACACCTTAATATGAATAGTTCATATTTTCATGCTATACATATACAGATCTGCCTGAATTTAACACTCCTCGACCCATGTACACTCACAGACAAACTTTATGCATTTGCGTATGAGTATGTGTATACAGAAAGGGGGATGAACATAACCCACAAAGAAAAAAAAGATCCAATAAGTCAAAAAATAACCGCATTCAAGGTTATCATTAAATATTTTTTTTTCCATTCAAAGAAAGTGATACAGGAATCGTGTCACTCTCCTTGTTAGACAAATTGGAACGCAAAGTAGGTCAAAGATGGGTGAGATTGTAATCACTTATTACTGTAGCACAAGTAACCTTATAGACACTAAGTTGACGATGGTATTCAACAAAGATTATTTTTTGTTATTTTTTCATTTTCCATTTTTTTATTTATCATTATCATTTATTTTTTTAGTATTTTTTTTTTTTTACTCTCTCTTCTCTCTTCTCTCTTCTCTCCTCGCTCTCTCTTCTCTTCTCTCTCTTTACTGCTATTTTAACCCCCTGACAAAAGAAAAGTCCATCTCCTTTAGGACCTCTTACTCGACACATCATCGTAACAGAAAAACGTAAAGAGAGATACCTGATATAAATCCACACAATGGAAGACAAGTTTCAACATTTTCTTCTTTTAATATCGTAAGAATTGATACCAGCGTGTGTAACAGAGTATTCTTCATTAAACTAGAAGGGCTTGCCGTGAGAGGATGAAGACCTCCAGCACTAATTATAATGCCCGTAAATGAATTATAAATTTATTGATAAACAGTAATGACTAGCAGGAAATTATTATCTAAAGGAAGTTCATCAAAATAATAGACCTCTAGTGTTTATATAACCTACTTGGCAGTGCCATGCGTGGTTTTTCCTCTAATATTCAACTTTCAATTTCTCTGATTCTATTTTCAATTATAATGAACTTGAGATTTTTAAGTGCAAAATCACGTGGTCAAACTATTTACGGAGAAGAGGATTTTGGACAATAAAAAAAATTATCTTTAGTCTAATTTATTACATGAAAAATATCAAATGTTGAGAATATATCTATTAATATTAATTTAAGTTTATACAAGTATCAAAACATTTTTCCCATAGAAAATATAAATGAACATCTGATTAGTAAATACGAAATAAGAAAATTTTCTTAAATTACTGACAAAAATATATTCTGCTATACCTTGTTGAGTCCCAAGCATCATACCAATGGTTAATGGTTAAAACAAATAAATGCCAGACAGCATTCATATAGCATTATGGTACAGTATAGTGGTGAAAAGGGTAGAAATGAGTTAATGATTAGGGTATTGTAAGACTTTACAGGCACTTTACAGGCTGAACTGTACAAGACGATAGTGTGGTAGTGAAAATAGGGTATGATAAGAGCGTTGTTAAAAGGGGGAAAGAGTTAATGGGGGATCTTTAAGCGCCTGAGAATGGAGGAAAGTTGTCAAAGAAAAAGGGAAGGGTTTCCGAGATTTTCAATAGGTTCGAGGGTCGGGGAAGTGAGAATAAGTGAGGAAAAGTAAAGTTATAGCTTGTTGTGAACCGGGGACAGGATAGTGGCATGTGTCGCACTGAGAGAGGAGCATGGAGGAGGATCATATCGTGGCCATATGAGGTAGGGATGTGTGAGGTGGGTGTCCAATGCGCAAGAGCAAAAACGAGCGTCTCTTCTTATTGAAAAGGATCGTCTAAGGAAGATGGAAGCTTTTGATATGTAGTTTATTTGCAGTAAGGTTAGAGAAGACAAGGGATCGTTCACTATACACTGTTCACCTCA